ACACACACACACACACACACACACACACACACACACACACACACACAGTGAGAGAGTCTTCATCATAGGACCAGTCCTACACACACACCAGTATTAACAGTGTCTCCCTCACCTGTCTCCTTCATTAAATGGTTGGTCATGTGCTCACCTGTTCAGGGTCTCGGGGGTCACATGGTCTCAAGACAACGACGCCCCCCTTCTGACTGACTCGGCCCTGGGCCACCAGACAACTCCCGGTTGCTAGGTTACGGAGCTGAAAGATACAAACATAGGGTTAAATTTGTCGCTTAAGGCAGGCGAGGCGTCGGTCAAAGCAGGCGAGGCATAAAAATTCTAAATGAACCATGAAAGCTGAAATAATGAGTGTGAATAAATATGAAGCACTGCAGCAACATAAATGAAATAAACGACAGATATTGTCAGAACATTTTTACCGATAATGTAACACCTTTTGTTCAAACTGATGTCATAATGTCAGGCTACATCCACACTACGGAGTTTTCGTTTTAAAACGGAGTTCTAAAATGAAATCTCTCTCTTTCCACACAGAGTTTCAGCATCTTTTTCTAAATGATCTCCGCCCAAACTAACACGCCTGAAAACGAATATCACGTGGCTCTTCACGTACACTATGTTGTCAACACTCGTCTCTCACTCGTAGCTCTGCTGGTGGCTGAAGTCTCTGTCCTACTGGAGAGCATTTAATGTTTTGTTCCTTTATAGTTTGTGTGTGTGGACTTCACAATAGTTAAGAAATAATAAAAATAAAGTCCTCTGTTTTGTGTCAGTCCTCCTCAAAGCCGCTAACCGTGACTTCAGACGTCTCCGTAGGGCTGATAACGCCGCTGGTCACGCTGCTCACTAATCGCTCCAATAACAGCCGCTTCCTCCGTAACAATGCAGACTTTAACTGGACAACAGCTGCTAGTAAAGACAACAAGGTCAGCAACGCCTGTAATGAGTTCTTCATGTTAAATTAACCTGGTAGTCGATCGGTAATCAAGGCTGTTGATGTTTGTGAACTTCCGTGATAGGGGTGTGACGAATCAGGGAAGGACACGTCGTGACTGCCAACAACCAATCAAGTAGCGAACATGGGTGTCTACGTCATCGTTGCCAGACTTATGAGTTTCCGACCGTCCATACTAGTCGGTATCCCCAGAGTTTTCAAATGTATCCGTCCTCGGGAGCGTTTTCAAACGGAGTAGTGTGGACGCTCGGCGTAAACGGATTAGTGTGGACGTGGCCTCTGTGTTTAACATGTTAGAACTGAAAACAGTGACTTCATGAGAGGAAATGTTCTACTGGTAACAAACCAGTGGTAACTGGAGATGAACTGGTGCCGATTGGTCCATTAGACCAGAATGGATCTGAGATCAGACTCCACCAGGAGAACAATATAACAAGGTATTACATCATCAGTCACAGAGGTATACAGGTGAACATGAGGGACAGGTACCCGTCCTCTCTGAAGGACTTTGGGGCGTCTCAAGCCTTTGTTGACGAACAGCGGCTGCTGCTTGTTGCCGTTGGCGGCGGTCTGCATCTCTGGGTAGATGGTGTCGAGGTACCAGCGAAACGTGTGACACTGAAGCCGCTTCCTCAGCGCCACGCGATCACCGATGTCACCGTAGCTGCGGTCGTGGAGCTCCGGACGCAGGGACAGATACTGCTCCTGATTGGTCCACAGGGACACAGGAAGTGAGGTCAGAGGACAGGATCACGGCTCTGTGTGTGTGTGTGTGTGTGTGTGTGTGTGTGTGTGTGTGTGTGTACCTTGTACTCGTCCATCCAGACGTGCGCTAGCCGCAGTGAATTGTGGGCCATGGTGTCCTGCCCCCCCGGCGAGCCATAGGGTCGCCTCTTCCTGAAGATGTGACCGACTCTGGAGCAGGGGATGATGAGCAGCTGACCTCCACACATCCAGATCTGAGAGACACAGAGTCTTTATGCTAAGCTAGGCTAACCACGTCCTGTCTCCTGCTCCATCTGAACATCTCAGACTCAATGACACCTTCATTGACGGTCAGTAAAACAGCTTCCTTACCCTGAAGGAGATCTCCAGGTTTTCCCCACCCCAGATGTCCATGCCGGCGTCGTATTGGCCGAGCTCATTAAAATACTTCCTGTTCATAGCGAATAGACCGCCGGCCATGGTGGGAGACCTGAGGGGGAGGAGAGGAGGGAGACAGGTGAGAAAATCTGAAGGATGTTTAAATATTAGTCATCAGCCCAATTGGTCAGATAGTTACCTGATTGGTCCAGTGGCTCCCTCTGGCCCATTGAGCTCAGTGGGGGGGACGGGGTCCCACTTGAAATGAAGGCCCCAGTTGAAGCCTCCCCTGACGATGGGGGAGGGAGAGTAAGACAGCGTGTCGGCTGAGATGATGTCGATGACGGGGCAGACAACGGTGCGGCGGTCCTTCTGGACGGGAGCCAGCAGAGGCTGAAGCCAAGCCTGGTTCACCTCGCAGTGACTGTCCAGGAAGACCAGCACCTCACCTGGACAAACAGATAGGTGAGTCCAGGTAGGGAGCAGGAAACTAAAGGTAATGTGTAGGCAGTAGGCAGGTAGGATTTAGGGATAAAAGGTCAAATGTTCTGTTATGGAATAAAGATGCATGGGGATAGGATATGCAAGAATTAAGGAAGTAGCAACAAGGATGTAAGGAACAAGGATTTGGGATTATTTGATGTAGGAAATAAGGATGTATGGATTAAGGATGTAAGGCAGAAGTATGCCAAAAGCAAGGATGTAAGGACTGAACAGATTAAGGATGTAGAGAACAAGATTACATGGTTTAAAGGGGTAGTAAGTAATGATGTAGTACATACCAGTAGCATGTGAGGCTCCTATCATGCGTCCTCGAATGAGTCCTTCTCTCTTCTGGTTCCTCACCAGTTTGATTTTCCCCTTCAGCTCCTCCTTGACGTACCGATCCAAGTTGTCCTTCAGCTCCTCTGAATCAACTCAAATATGTTAGAAACATATAACATATCTCTAAAGTTTAACTAGAGAGATTAAATAATGGTATGTTAACTACAGTGGACCAGAGGGACGTTCTGTTGCTGCTACAACATGAAGATATTAAAGAAAATATAGTTCAGACAAAGAAAATAAGTGATTATTGAAACATACCGAGCTCACTGTGGTCATCCACCAGGATGATCTCGTGCAGCAGGTAGTCCGGCGTACGGTCGAGCACACTGTGGACGGTCCTCAGCAGGGCAGAGAACGCCTCATTGAAGAAACAGATCACTACGCTGGCAGAAGGTAGAGCCAGAGAGTAAACCTTATCCCGACACCTGTAGGTAAACATGAACCAGTTATCAATAACCAGTTATCAATAAGCAGTGGTTGATCACCAGTAACCAGTGGCTAATCACCAGTAACCAGCAGTTTATCACCAGTAACCAGCAGTTTATCACCAGCAACCAGCGGTTTATCACCAGCAACCAGCGGTTTATCACCAGCAACCAGTGGTTCGATGTCATACACAATGAACCCATGTCTCCCTCCTCTGGTGTGCTTCTTACTGGGAGTCTCTGGTGTCGGGCAGCTCTCGGTGGTTTCCCAGTCTGGTGGAGATGAGGACGTTGAAGGCGTGTCGGTGGTAACCGTTGTCCCTCAGCTCCTGGTCCGCTTCGTTAAAGATCATCCCTGAGGACAAGAGACGTGTCATCACGAGGAGGGGGGTATCCAATATTTCCCAGCCGCCCTGAACACACCACACTCACCCATCTCTGGCGACAGCTCCGCCACCTCGTTGGCCAGCAGAGGCCGAAGCCCCGCCCTTCGGTCGGCCAGGCCCTTGGTGATTGGCTGGCCACGGTGACGCAGGGGGGTCCTGCCACGGCCTGGCTCCGCCCCCAAAGAGAAGTACAGGAAGAGGAGGATGGACCACGTTGCCGAGGTGACGAGGCAGCCATAACAGAAGTACCTCAGAGTGACACTGGCCATGGTGGCCGATCGCATCGCCTTACATCACACTGCTGAGAGATGATATCATTCCATTATTCAGACGACATGGTTCTACAGAGAGCATGTCATTCTGATGACGGGTTAGGGGAGGGGTCGGGAACCCGCGGCTCTTCAGCCCCTCTGTTGCGACTTTTAAAACGGAGTTTTAACAAACAAAAACGATCTCCGTCCACACGGCGTTTCAGTATTGTTTTCAAGATGATCTCTGTCCAGACTAAAAAAACCTGAAAACGAATATCACGTGACTCTTCACGTACACTGGGCGTGATGGTGCCGGTGTAGACAGGAAGTAGATTGGTTGCTTAGTTAAAATAATACGACAGAGTAATAAAGTAGTCTTTAATAATGAGAGGTCGTGTTTGATACTTAAGATCTTCCTCTAAAATATTCCTCTATGAACTCAAACAGACAGTTCGTGGAAAGTTTTAGAAGTTTTATTTTTCAGACTTAGTTACAACGCTGCAGGTCTTTATCTCTCTCACCTCATATTTACATTAAAAAACACATACACATAAACGTTTACTAGATTATGGTCCATAAATCTGGTCAACACGTAAATAACGGTAATTTGTATTTTATTTTTTGCACAGTGGCCAATCTTTCAAAAGCAACACCTCTTATCTTGGAGTTTGAGGTGATACTGTCACTGAAAATAATGTTTTTTAAAATATTTTGTCAACTAAAATGTGCGTCACATCCTATTACGTCGTTGTGAGGAGCCTTTCCCTGCAGGTGATTCACATCATGAATCACCCCCCCCCCGCCCTTGGTAAACTATCAATGGATAAATCCACAAAAAGAAAAGTCTAAGGTCAGCCTCAGCCTGCCACGGTCAGCCTCAGCATGCTAATGTTATAGGTGAGAATAAGTAGTTTCGACAGAATAAGTGTCATATCAATATTTTAATTGTAACCCATAAATCAAAGAATAAAGACATTTCCTTTTAACTTATCAGGGACACAGTAGCAAGTTTTAAACTATTATATAATAACATTATAGAATAATGCATCTTATTTCCATAAAGTTATTTTGAAAACACCTTTTGTTAACATCTTATTTTGAAAACCAGACAGTCACACCTTCATCCTTCACTAGCTCCCCTTTATCATCCTGACCCTCACATGAAGAGCAAGAGAGGAAGAAACATCAGGAGATCCGTCTCTCAGGGTGTGTGTGTGTATGTGTATGTATATGTATGTATGTATGTATGTATGTATGTATATATATAGATATATATATATATATATATATATATATATATATAGATATATAGATATATAGATTATATATATATATATAGATATATAGATAGATAGATAGACTGGTGATAAGCTGATGTAACAAACACCTGAGCAGGTGAGTGTGTCAAGGGACAGGTGTCAGGAGACCTGTTAATAATCACCACAGTAAACCATTCACTCTACAACACTACAGTCTAAAAGCTCCTATTAACTGTCCGATGATGGAACCCGCTAGCTAAGTTAGCTAGCTGAACTCAGAGGAGTTAATAGCTAAATGTGCTAACAGCATTAGCTTCACAAGCTCTACAATCAAAAGCTCTAATGTCCGACTCCTCGGCCTCTTCCCAGAACTCTACTCACGGGTCATCGGCGGTTTGCTCAGCGGCACTACGGCAGCTGGTGGAGCCTGTCGTCGGGCTACAGGTCCGCTAGCCGCCGGAGCTTAAATTAGCAGGATTTCTAGTAGAGTTCTGACCGGATATAAACACACAGAGAAAATCAGGAAAGACGTCACTTCCGCTGACGACCTTCACAACAAAATACATCAGAATCTTAAAAGGAAAAGTGTTCAGGTCACAACTTTTCAAAATAAAACTACAGACTTAAGGATGGATTCCTGGACGGACCCACCGGGACCAGAGACACACAATGACACAAAGAGACACACACTGACCACAAAGAGACACACAATGACCACAAAGAGACACACAATGACCACAAAGAGACACACAATGTGAACCAAAGAGACACGCAATGAGACACAATGAGACACACAAAGACACAAAGAAAAACAATGACACAAAGAGACACAAACAATGACCACAAAGAGACACAATGACCACAAAGAGACAAACAATGACACAGAGACACAATGACACAAAGAGAAACAATGTGAACCAAAGAGACACGCAATGACACAATGAGACACAAAGAAAAACAATGACACAAAGAGACACACAATGACCACACAGAGACAAACAATGACACAGAGACACGACACAGTGAGACACAAACAAAGAGACACACAATGTGAACCAAAGAGACACGCAATGAGACACAATGAAACAAAGAGACACAAAGACAATAAGACACAATGAGACACACAATGACCACAAAGAGACAAACAATGACAGACACAGAGACACACAATGAGACAAAGAGAAAAACAATGACACAAAGACACACAATGACACACAAATAAAAACAATGACACAGAGACACACAATGACTACAAAGAGACACAAACAATGACCACAAAGAGACAAACAATGACACAGAGACACAATGTGAACCAAAGAGACACGCAATGACACAAAGACACAAAGAGACACAATGACCACAAAAAGACACACAAAGAAAAACAATGACACAAAGAGACACAATGAATACAAAGAGACAATGACCACAAAGACACACAACCACAAAGACAAAACATGACCACAAAGAGACACACAATAGATATATACTTTATTCAGCCCCAGGGGGAAATTTGTCTGTAGCAGCAGCAAACGAAGTTACACTTTAAAATGAAAATATTAAGTATGGAAAATGCACAATATATATAATATAATAAAATAAAATAGAATAAAATAACATCGCAGAACCTATTAAATCTATAGAAAATAAAGTCAGAAAAATGCAGAAAAATGCACAGTATAAACTAAAATAGAATAGTTTTCCTACTTAGTTAATTTAATACCCAACAAAACAGCAGCGCAAAATATCGCCAACAGCAGCAACAACCGTGTAGCGGTGTTGTAGTAATTTGAAGGATGATCTGGCCAGAGGTGTTTTATTATAGTCTAATAGCAGAGGGCAGGGATGTTCTCCTGTATCTGTCCTTGTGACAGCGGCGCTGGATCAGTCTGTTGGAGAAAGTGACCACAAAGACACACAATGACCAGAGACACACAATGACCTATGTTAATGCATGTGTATTGTGTGATGCAGAGCGGACCTCCTCTGTTTTACTATCTTCATGCTCAGAGGGACAATAGAGCCCTCTGTTATATTGAGATATGGTATTGAGTTAAATACAGATGGAATCTCTTTAAATTGAGCTACAGACTAGATGTCTATCTAGTGTAGAAACAGTAAGAATTCAAAAGTTTTTAGACAAAAGAGGGTTCTGTGAAATTAAATGTTCTATTTTAATTGCAGAACAAGGTGGAGGGTTAAAACGGTGAGCAGGTTCCTGTTCACTCTGACAAGAACTGCTCTGCTCTCATGACGCCGTCCAGACCGACAGCATCGCCATGGAAACATATCACCCACCGCCAGGTAACCCCCGCCCCCCCGAAATAACAAACAGTGTCGCTTCTTCAAGATGTAAAATATTTTATTTTCTGTAAATTATTCTAAATCAGATTCCACATTTTCCCAAAAAACAAAAAACATCACTCTGTTTATGTGAATATTAAAAACAAAAAAAAGAGGCTTCATGTCGTTGAACTGTACACAGTCTTGATAAAACCTCATATGTACACAAAACAAAGTGAAAAAACTAAACATAGAAACGCCTGCAGCCAAAATGCTGGGTGAAAAAACACAAAAAAAACGACGTCTTCATCCAATCAGAATGCAGCGCGAGAGGAAACTGACGGGCAGGTGATGAAGGTGACGATGAGAATGTTAAGGTCGCTGTCAGTGGAGTGATTTCTAAACATTTTGTCTTTCCTTTAAATTTATAATACAGATATTTACAGGCTGAGACTCCGGACCTCGAACTCACCGCGTAATTAGAAAATAGCTTCATTCAGTAATAAATACAAAAAGAACAAAATCTCTTATTTTACAGGAAATTAACAAAACACAGGAGGAGGAAGAGGTGGAAGAGGAACCACATATGTTTCTGTGGGCATTGATCTGTTTTTGTTGTTTTATATGTTTGTTAATAGTGCAACTTAATGACAAAGACATTCTGATAGTTGACATTTACATCTGTGGTCATTTTTACACAATATACACAGAGGACCAGCCTCGATATAAGCCCCGCCCCCTCACCTGTCAAATCATCCAACACCACCAGAATTAGCTCTGCCCCTCCTTCCAAACATTATTTCATGTGTGATCAGGTTTATTATCAATATATTGACTTCTGATATGAAGTGTAACTCCACCCACATGGGGGTGAGAGACAGACAGAGAGAGAGACAGACAGATAGAGAGACAGCTGTGTCTTCAGTTCATCCATTTACGGCAGTTAACGGCTCCACAGTGACACGAGATCTTATGTTGATCGTCCTCCAGGTCAAACTTGTAGTCATAGGATAGCTGACACAGAGAGAGAGAGAGAGAGAGACACAAATAGAGAGAGAGACAGACAGAAAGAGAAAGACAAACAGGTTGATATTAAAAGGACAGATCATTATATTATAAACAAGTCTTTAGGCCTAGGTCTTAGGGCCAACGATTTATATTGATAATCCCACTGATTTAAATAGATTATTCCTATTGATTTATGCTGATCATTCCAATTGATTTATGCTGATCATTCCTATTGATTTATGCTGATCATCCCTATTGATTTATGCTGATCATCC